GGAGCCCGTAGGGGATTGGAGAGGAGATGGGATAATAATAATAATAATAATAATAAAAAATGGAGATATCCCATCTCCTAGAACTGGAAGGGACCCTGAAAGGTCATAGAGTCCAGCCCCCTGCCTTCACTAGCAGGACCAAGTACTGATTTTTTGCCCCAGATCCCTAAGCGGCCCCCTCAAGGATTGAACTCACAACCCTAGGTTTAGCAGGCCAATGCTCAAACCACTGAGCTATCCCTCCCCCCATGCTGAGGCCATGTGCCAATTCTTCCCACCCTTCCCTCACTACTCTGGCAGCTTCCAGTACACTTTGTAAATACCCATGTGCTGTGTTGGCATCAGCAATCTCTTTACAATGTTCATGCCAGTTTCCCTGAGGGTCACAAGCAAGCGAAGGGAAATAGGAATTGAACAGTTCATTTTTCAGCCAAACTTAAATGGAATTTCATGGGATGAAGAAAAAGCACTTCTCTAGCCAAAGGATTTTCTCCCTAGTGAATTTCAAAGGCCTGCTGTAAACAGAAATGTTAGAGCTTTCCAGAAAAAGAGTCAGGCAACTACACAGAGAGATTGAGACCAGCTTCCCCTATACTCATATTTACTGGAAGAATGCTTACACAGTAAGCTGTGTAATTAGATCTACGTGGGCAGCCCCTTGAGACTTCAGCATTACAAGTTTTGAGCATAAGACCTCAAAAACTGGAGACGTTAACATAAGAGGAGTGGAGTTTGTCTTCACCTTTGCTAAGACTATGTCTGCACCACCACTTATGTCGGTATAACTTATACTGCTCAGGGGTTTGCCACCCCGAGAGCAACATAAGTTACGTCAACCTAAAGGTTGACATTGACAGTGCTAGGTCAGCAGGAGAGCTTCTCGCACCGACATAGCTACCACCGCCTTCTGGGGGTGGATTAACGAAGTCGATGGGAGAGCTCTCTCCTGTCATTTTAGAGCAGCTACACGAGAGAACTTACAGCGGCACAGGTATAAGCTCTTTTGTGTAGCCATAGCCTAAGTTATTTCTCTCTAGTCCCAGAAAAGCAGTCTACACTAAAATGTTAAAGGTTTTTGTATGTACTGTTACAAGTAATACCTAACCTGATTAGAGAAAAGTTCTCTAATCCTTTCCATTTTACATTTTCAGTTTAATGTACGCATGTGACAGCACTTTGTAAATAACCAGTTTCACTGTTGATGGAACATGCCCTACCCAGCAACATCAAAGCTGAAACTGAAACTAAATGGACAGGCAGCAAGCAGGTGCATGCATAAAAGAACTAGGAAGAAACAGCCTGAGCACACATTCGGTGCTGTTACTCTTAAGCCTACCCAGAGATCCTTCTAAATAAATGAGAAGGAAAAAAAAAAAAAAATACCATTGATCTTTTTTTCAGAAGACACCAAAAATCCAAACACATTTCATGCTTGGCTATTTAAAGGCGTTTTAAATAAGATTTCTGGATGTCAATTAAAACAATTCAAATTGACTCTGGGTTTCATCTGCATTCCAATTTAAAAAACAAAATCTTTAACAGAAGAAGAAAATCAAAATTTACCATTTGATAAGTTATACATCAAACCAAAGTATATCTGTATAGGATAAAATCAATGTCCATATTTCTATTCTATTGTGCAAGTAACTTAAATCCCTCACATACAATAAATCAAGTAACAATTTCCTCCCATGCTATAGTGCTAAACAAACATTTTAAATAAATTGTGAAGAGCAGCAAGGAAAATTCAAATTAAAGCGGATATCTTCGTTTACTCAAAAGTTCATGAAGTTCTTAAACGCAAATGGGATCAATTATGTACCAGCATACTTTGCAATCACATTGAAACATGTCAAGGATGGGATATCACATCCTTAACATTTAATTTTTACCTTTTCCTCTTAGAACATTCCATTCATTCCAAGACGGACAGAAAAACATTCAATACTTGTTAAGAATAGTACACTTTTCAAAAGTCTTAGCTCCCACATCTTAGGAAAAATGGAAGTAAGTCGTATACAACTGATAACCAGAAATAATTTAAAAAAATACTAATATCCAATAGTTATTCTAAATTTTGAAAGCTAGAGACTAATATAGAATAAAATCTTGAGATTAAAAAAAATTACACAAAAATATTCTCCAAAAGTTACATAAAGCTTACTCCAAAATTCACACATCATTTCAAAAGAAGATGGTAAAAAGCATGTATTGCTGCCAAAAGTTATTCTGAGAAATTGATACAATAGTCCATACATTTCTCAGGGCCTCAGGAAATGCACATGCTAAAAAGGAGGAATTTATATGTCGGAGGGAAAAAAAAAAAAGTCTCAGACTATTCAGTAATTTGATTGTGACATTACTGAAATGTGAGGTATGGCCTTTGGTATACAAAGCAGCAAAATGTTCAGGAAGTAAACTCCAAGTTCTGCCAAAAGGAGTAGCAGTCATTTACTGCAGGCTGCTAAGAGCGTTTCTTGGCTAAAATCATTAATGGTGTAAACAGTTAAGTATAGTCATAATGCTAGTCGTAAAGCTGTGTCAGAATACAACCACCTAGTTCTTACATAGCTTAAGTGTGTACCTTGCACCTATTTGGTGTTTAGTGGTTGTGTAAAATTATTTATTTACACACAAGGACAGAATGCGCGTAGGATGGAAACATTTGACAAGACAGTTAGCAAGATCATAGCTGTAATAAACATGCTTTAAGTTATCTACATCTCCATCCACAACTTTTCCATTAAATACCCAATCGATGAAAGCTACATTGAATTTGGCATCCTATTTCTGAAAGCGAAGTAGGTTTGTCAAGTTAATTTACACTTGTCTACAGTATGTTGTTTTTTCAGCAAGAGAAAAAAACCGAACAACATGATGTACCCTACAAAAAAAGAGTTCTGTGTCTCCTTGACAAGACATCCTTGAGTGGTTGAAGCTATTGTAAGCGTTATTACCGGAAGGCACATTGAAAACAAAGTTTAGAACTAGTGACTTGTAAAACCTGAACCTTATGAACTGCATTAAATAAACCCAATTAAGCTCATCTAGCTGGTTATACTGACTATAGCTGGTTAATGAAATAACAGTAAGAAAAATGTTACCTGATAGCAAACTTTAACCTTCAGCAGCAGAGTATTTTATTAACAGACAAAGTACAGGTAATTCAGGGAGAAAAGATCCTTGTTCAATTTCACTTGGAAACATGACCTTTCTTTTGTTTTTTTAAAAAAGCTGAAGATACTGATTTAACCTTCCTTATGTTAGTATAGAGTATGCCTGCCATATATCACAGAGCAGGGTACTCACACAAAGGGTTAAAAATTTAGCTGAGACAGGAAGCTGTTTAGGTATAAACAGCTTCAATGCTTGATTAAGAGAAGTTTATCTGCTTAACCAATGCAGAAATGACAGGTTTTAAAATAACTAAGAGAACATCAAATTGAATCACCCATTGATATTATAAACATTGCAAATTTGGATTTTTATAGTAGAGTCAGTTTATTCTAAACATTTACCTGTATAGTTGAATCCCCCATGATAAATTTTGCTCCTTCTATTACAGCCATATATGAGAATCTTAGCTGGTCAGGCGTCTGAATAAGTCCCATGCGATACTTTCTCATATCCAATAATACTTGCTTAATGTCCACAGAAGAAGGGTCTTTTTTTTTCCATCTGTTAAAAAAAAAAAAAGTCTGGTTAATTATACTAAGAGTTTTGACCTAATCTGTGAAAGTGGGACAACTGTTCTTTAAAAAGAACCAAAAAATAAGGAAAATTTTTAACAGATATTTGAGTCACACAATTTCTACTGAATATATACATCCACCTTTTTACTACATTTCTGTTATAACTGTATGAGAAACTAACATCTGAAACTGATTTCTAAGTTTATTTCTCAAGAGAAAAATCACTTAAAATACTTTTATATAACACAAAAAGGTATGTTAAAATACAACTGGAGGTTAGTTGAAATCACAAACGCCAATATGCTAGTAATAATTAAAGCCCTGAGTCTTAATACACTTCTATGTGCCTAACTTTACTCATGAATGTGTTTACTTTGCAGGATTGGGGCACAGTAGTTCTGAGTACTACAACTTGGTGCTTAGTTAAAAAGACAGACACATTCAATAGGATGATGGGATAATGTTGGCAGAAGAATGAGTCGACCAAACCATTTGCAAATTTGGGGCATAACACAGACTGGCTAATACCATTATAAACATACATACTGCACTGTTTTTCAAAGTATTACTTGCTATATGTCCAGTAACTGAACTAATGATTATGTCCTATTAAAAGTAATTTCCCCCAAAAAGAATCAGAAACACTAATCTGATAGATAGACAATGTTTTGCAATAGCGGCTTTTCTTTCAGAGTGTTTAGCTTTATATAAACACTTCAGATTTAATTTAATTTTTTTTAAGTTACAGGAATACTAGAACCACCAAAAAACTCAACAAGCTTCATTCTGTTGCACTATTTTTCTATCTATACTGCTGTTTCCTTCAAGTTTTGTAAAATTAGAAAGCAAATTCCACTTCTAGACAGACTCTGATCAAACAAGTTTCAGATAACAGTGAAGAGCTAAGGGCAAAGTTACAAATCTCTGAAAATAAGGTCTATAAAAAACTAAGGCACATTAAGATCACCAGTTTGAAAACAAGTCTCTATTGTGAAGAGCTTCTACTCATCCCACATTTGTGGAAAAATTATACATTTTCATACATTTATTTAAGCCATCAGAATAAGTGTCAGAGAAACGAAGTAGCTTCCACAGGGTCTTCATTTACCTTCACAAATGTGTGGCTTATTTACAGATATCTGATTTGTAAAGAATGTTCATCAAAAAACTCAAATATAAACCAAAAGCCACCACAGAAACACTTACCAGGACAAGACAGGTGTCTACTAATGAAAATGTGCCAGAGCGTCCTATCCCTGCACTACAGTGAATTACGGCAGGTCCATGTTCAGGACTCAGCGAACCAGATTCTCTGACTTTAAACAAGAAGTTGAGGAATGAAGCTGGGGACTCAGGGACTCCAAAATCTGGCCACGTAGTATAGTGATAATGAGATATCATCCTGGATTCACCACTCTAAAAACGAAAAAAAAAAATACAAAAAATAAAAAATAAAAAAAAATAGAACAAAAAGGGTACCTTTGCTTTTGGATAATTATTTTTTTGAGACTCGTCCATCAGTCTAGGCCAAGAGCTACTCAATATTTTAAACCTCTCCGTCAGGTTGACACAAACTGCTTGCTTAAAATTTGCAACCTTAGATTGTTCCCAACAAAAAGTTGGCACTATGACACTTCTTCAAGCACTAGGTCATTATTTGTGACCGACACCTTAGTTATATTTTGTTTTTCATTTTAAAAGCCACACTAAGGTATCTATGGGATCCATTCCCCCACATGCTAACATTACTAAAATTCTAACATTAGTACTTTTCCCCTAAAATTTCCCTCTAACTACTACTAGTGCAGCTCAACTGATGCCAACAGTGAGAGCATCAGTATGGACAGGGCTAGCTCCAGCAGACTGCCAGCATTTTAAGCTGCATGTTGTTTATCCCTGCTCTGAGCAGGGGTGGGCAACATGGTGTTTAAATTGCCTTTAACTGCTGGAACCTTGTCCACACTAGCACTGCCACTAATGGTAGCAACAGTGGGAAAATTTATGGAAAAGTCCTACTGTAGGCAGGGCTTAAAGAGGCCCATATGTCAGAAAATCTTAAGACTTCACTTCTGCTTGAGACAGTCAACCTTGTTATAGATATAGATATAAAAAGTGTATGGAAAGGCTATTGGGATTATGCAATGTTTTCCTCCTTCCTTGGCTGAGCTCTATGCCAACACACCTCCCAAATGCATTAACCCCGGAGAGCTTCAGGAACCAGCTTTGACTGCATGTCCACTAGACTCACTAAGACCTAGCTGTTCAAGCTACAGGGTTTGTTTACTTTGAGGTGGTTTAATTATGGATATTTAGGATTTTGGAATCTCAAGAAATCAATCTCAGTACCAAGCATCTGTTTTCCCAATACTTTTCTCTAAACTTCCCCAATGTTACCATCTTATTTCTATGTTTTCTTAAAGTGATAGCTAGACCTCTATACATAAAGTGAATAGTTAAAAAAGATTTAATAAGATTCCATTAAAGCTGAAGTATTTTTCTTTAGGTCAATGACAAAGTAAATTGTTTCCATTTTGCAGGACACTAGAGAGCTCCTCTCCTCGTCAGTCCATTGCAAGTTTTTATGAAGTGCAGATTTACTTGAAATAGCATTATTCAGTTCATGTTTATTGTGTCGCAACAACATTTGTTCTGGAAACAAGTTCTTCCACAGTTACAGCTTTTGCTTTCCCCCTCATTTAGGGCCCGATGCTGCAAGGTTCTGAGCAACCTCAAGTTCTGCAGAAGAAAATGTACATTGAGCATGCCAACTACTATAGAAGTGCAACTCAACCATCTTGTAATACACATTGAAGGGGACAACAGAATCTGATTCTTTGTAGTTTGTTACTAAACAATTTATACATTCACATATATTCTCCTGATGCACAAATTTAGAATAAATAGAATATTCCTATTGGTACAGCAAAGCCAATACAAGCTCCAGCTCCTGAACTTGTATTGGCTTTGCTGTACCAACAGGAATAGAGAGTAGTAAAAATTAGTCTTTGTTCAAACAGATTTGATTTTGAACACACACAGAGTATATCTACTGAGTAAGGTGCCATTTTTATATTGCCACTTTTCAGAGCAGAACTATAATCCAATACCCCCACTTAAATCACCGGTGAGCAACAAAACTGCAGGTTAAAGGACTTAGATTCCTTCACAAGAAGCCCTTTTTGAAGCAAACAAATCACAAAGTTTGCATTGAGTAAATATCTGCCACATAGGACTACATTTTTGAAACCTGAAATAGGTTTTCCTTTTGTAGGAATATAGTGAGATTTTATCAATATTTGTCTAAGGCAAAGGCTTAATACTAGTTTTATTTATTTTTTTAAAGCAAGCACTTTTACCAGTGAATTGTCCCCAATATTTTGTATTTACACAATGTCCAAGGAGAAGCAAAGCAATTATTTTTCCTGTTAATTTCTTACTTGTATATATATATACACACACACACACACACTAAATTGACAAAAGACCAAATAGTCACTCAAAACAAGACATTTGTACATTTCTATTTCACAATTACAAATTGTTTTAGCTCTTCAGGAAAACATTTGAGGGTAACCATTGGGCACTTGGAGAAAAGATACCTTTTCAAAATTGTAAAAAATGTATTAACACATTTTGAGTTTTTAAATTATTTCTCTTATTAGTATGCTGGTGTAGCATTTCACATCAGCTGTGACACCTAGATGTTGTCTTCTAGTCTTTTCATTCCTACCAACCTCTTTCCTAGAATCGAGATATATCCCTTAGTTTCTGGTAACAGCATATCAATTGAGGCTATTCACTGGCTATTGTTATTTGCTTCTGTGCATGCCGCCAAAATCTGGGTGAGTTACTACACTTCCTCTTGGCCCGGCTCTTAATCTTTATTTGATTTTAACAGTGCATCAGAGCAACATTAATGCTCCAGTTTCTATTCTTGGGCTGTATAGATTATGCTGAGCTATCCTCCAAAATCCCCAAAAGGTAAAGTGGATTTATGGTTCATCCAAAAATTCTCCTTAGATTGGTAAGTGATCCAGGATCCTTTTGACTCTGGCTCAAAGAGTCTAAGCTTCCTCTAGATAGCTTGATTGTACAATCTGTTGAATGACCTCTCTTTGTCACAACAGTTTCATGCAAGGCAAAACTGGCTCAAATACAGTCCTCATCACTTTGCAGGCCCAAACTTCTGAAGACTATGTAAGATGGACACTTGTTCTCACCTAACCTGTCCACAGGTTATCCGAACAATTATCTTGTGTTATATGTTACTATGTACGGGAGGGCAGAGATCTAGTCAAGGAAAACATTATACACTTCTACCTCGATATAACTCTGTCCTTGGGAGCCAAAAAAATCTTACTACGTTATAGGTGAAACTGCGTTATATTGAATTTGCTTTGAGCCACTGGAGTGCGCAGCTCCGTCCCCTCCTCCCCGGAGCACTACTTTACGGCGTTATATCCAAATTCGTGTTATATGGGGTCGTGTTATATCGAGGTAGCGGTGTATTTTATAATCCAATTTCTAATCCGCAGAGAGTTTAAGATTCCTCATCAGCTTCAACAGATGATTGCACAGAAATACTGCCAGTCCTGTAAGTTTCCTATCTGATTAAGAGGTACATCTCTACTCTACAATTCATAAAAAACACAAACACACACACAAAAAACAAACACACACAGTTCATCATGCAATCAGCCAGCCAATATATTTACACACAAGGTTTAAACTCATCTCTTCAGTTCGTCCTCATGATTCTAAGGAATGGTAGGAGGGAGAACAGCAAAATAAAGACAATGGATTTCAAGAAGGCAGAGTTCAGCAAACTCAGGGAGTTGGTAGGTAAGATCCCATGGGAAGCAAGTCTAAGGGGAAAAACAATTGAAGACAGTTGGCAATTTTTCAGAGAGACATTATTAAGGGCACAAGAGCAAACTATCCCACTGCATAGGTAAGATAGGAAATATGGCAAGAGACCACCCTGGCTTAACCAAAAAATCAAAAAAGAGGCCTACAAAAAGTGGAAACTAGGTCATATTACAAAGGATGAATATAAACAAATAACACAAGGATGTGGGGACAAAATCAGGTCAAACTAGCTAAAGACATAAAGGGTAACAAAACATTCTACAAATACATTAGAAGCAAGAGGAAGACCAAGGACAGACAGACCCATTACTCAGTGAAGGTGGGGGGGGGAGGGAGAACCAGAAAATGTGGAAATAGAGGTGCTTAAGGACTTTTGTTTCGGTTTTCACCAGGAAGGTTGGTGGTGATTGGACATCTAAAATAGTGAATACCAGTGAAAATGAGGTAGGATCAGAAGAGGCTAAAATAGGGAAAGACAAGTTAAAAATGACAGACAAATTAGATGTCTAAGTTACTAGGGCCTGATGAATACTCAAGGAGCTGACTGAGGAGATATCTGAGCCATTAGTGATTATCTTTGAAAAGTCATGGAAGAAGGGAGAAATTCCAGGGGACTGGAAAAGGGCAAGTATAGTACCAATCTATAAAAAGGGAAATAAGGACAACTCAGACCAGTCAGCTTAATTTCTTTACCCTGAAAGATAATGGAGAATAAATAAGAATAAGCAATCAATTTGCAACTATCTAGAAGATAAGGTGATAAGTAATAGTCAGCATGGATTTGTCAAGAGCAAATTATGGCAAACCAAACTGATAGCTTTCTCTGAAAGAGTAACAAGCCTTGTGGATAGGGAGGAAGCAGCAGACATCCTATATCTTGACTTTAGTAAGGCTTTTGATACGGTCTTGCATGACCTTCTAACAAGTAAACTAGGGAAATGCAACCTAGATGGAGCTATTATAAGGTGGGTGCAAAACTGGTTGGAAAACCGTTCCCAGAGACTATTATTAGCAGTTCAGTCACGCTGGAAGGACATAATGAGTGAGGTCTCACAGGGATCAGTTCTGGGTCCGGTTCTGTTCAACATCTTCAGTGATTTAGATAATGGCATAGAGAGTACACTTATAAAGTTTGAGGACACTACCAAGCTGGGAGGGGTTGCAAGTGCTTTGGAGGATAGGATTAAAATTCAAAATGATCTGGACAAACTGGAGAAATGGTCTGAAGTAAATAGGATTCAATAAGGACAAACACAAAGTACTCCACTTAGGAAGGAACAATCAGTTGCACACATACAAAATGAGAAATGACTGCCTAGAAAGGAGTACTGCGGAAAGGGATCTTGGGGTCACAGCTAAATGTGAGTTAACAGTGTAACGCTGTTGCAAAAAACAAAAAACAAACAAACAAAAACAAACAAACAAAAAAAGGCGAACATCATTCTGGGATGTATTAGCAGGAGTGTTGCAAGCAAGCAAGACACGAGAGGTATTCTTCCGCTCTACTCTGCGCTGATTAGGCTTCAACTGGAGTATTGTGTACAGTTCTGGGCACCACATTTCAGGAAGGACGTGGACATATTGGAGAAAATCCACAGAAGAGCAACAAAAATGATTCAAGGTCTAGAAAACATGACCTACGAGAGAAGATTGAAAAAATTGGATTTGTTTAGTCTGGAAAAGAGAGAAGACTGAGTGGGGACATGATAACAGTTTTCAAGTACGTAAAAGGTTGTTACAAGGAGGAGGAGGGAGAAGAATTGTTCTTCTTACCCTCTGAGGATAGGACAAGAAGCAATGGGCTTAAATTGCAACAAGGGCGGTTTAGGTTGGACATTAGAAAAAACTTCTTACTTGTCGGGGTGGTTAAGCACTGGAATAAATTGCCTAGGGAGTTTGTGGAATCTCCATCATTGGAGATTTAAGAGCAGGTTAGACAAACACCAGTTTAACAACTTAGTCCTGCCATGAGGCAGGAGACTGGACTAGATGACCTCTCAAGGTCCCTTTCAGTCCTATGATTCTATAATGTACACAATAGTACAGAAGGGTTTAAAGAAGTTTCCACCAGGATTTAAATATTTTAAGTCACGATTTGAGGTGGAGAGTGTAATCATGTTACTTCTTTCAAACTGTTTGTTAAATAGCATTTCAGTGAAAAGCCTTCCTAGCTTTACCAAGAGGAAAGAAACTGCAGAGAAGAGACCAAGAAACTACAGAGAAAAATTCCACAAAGATAAGTGCATCAAAACAAAGACCTTCTCTTAAGTCCCAAGTTACTTGTAAATACTCATTCCTCAGATCCTTTCTTGAAAGAGTGCTACAGGATATCAGTATACCAGTAAAATATATTATTAAGCAACTGATGGTTAATATGCCATGTGAACTCCCCCCCAGCATTATTGTAGAAATTCCATTTCTACTTCCCCTTTATGTGCACAAGCAGGTAACACTACACTCATGGACTGCTTTGAAGACATGTACTCTTTTCCTTATACTGCTTAAAGAACACTAAAAAAGAGCTGCTTTTATGTCTCTATAAATCTAACCACCAGGGATCTAGCCTTATCTCCCTTCCAGTGGATACCGTGCTATGGCCTATCTAGGGCCCTACCAAATTCACAGTCCATTTTGGTGAATTTCACCGTCATAGGAATTCAAAAATTTGAAATTTCATGTTTTCAGCTATTTAAATTTGAAATTTCATGGTGTTGAAGTAGGGGTCCTGACCCAAAAAGGAGTTGTGGGGTGTGTGTGTGGGTGGGGGGCGGATGGGTTGCAAGGTTATTGTAGGGGAGGCAGTGGTACTGCTACCTTTACTCCTGCACTGTTGTTGGCAGGGACGCTGCCGTCAGAGCTGTGCCACCCCACAACATTTCAAGCCTTTTCTTCGAAGTATGGAGGTGCTAGAGCTTCTCAATGAAACGTTTATGAACATTTCCTCCTAATTTAATTTAATTCTTGGAAACAGCTGACCTGTTTTTGCTAACAGTTTCAAAACAATTCAGCCTGAGGCAGACAACAAACAGTGTGGAAAATTTCAGCTCAGACAGTTAAGTTTTGGCTAAGTTCTTATAATGGAATGCATCAGTCAACTTTAGTAGAGATGGTAGTACCAGCACTATCTAGAATTAAGGCTAAGATTTAATCACGGGTATTTTGGGTAAAAGTCACGGACAGGTCACGGGCAAAACACAAAAAATCATGTCCTGTGACCTGTCCATGACTTTTACTATAAATACCCCTGACTGAATCTGGGACGGGGGCGGGGAGGAGGCCACGCATGGCACCGCTCTGGCTGCTGGCGGGGGAAGGGAAGCCCCAGGTGGCCAGCGACTGCTCTGGGATCACTGCCACGAGCCCCTGAGCTGTGGCTGCTCCTGCCGCCCCCAGGACTGCTGCTCAGGCAGGGTCCCTGGGGCCAGCCGCATCTGCTGCTGCCCGGGGCCGCCAGAACGGCGGCCAGTGCAGCTGGCTGCAGGATCGTGCGAGTGGCTGGCTGCAGAGCTGCTTCAGCAGCGGCCGGTGTGGCTGTCCCCAAGGCCGCCCAAGCAGCTGGCCCAAGAGCCCAACAGCCAGCTGCTCAAGCAGCCCTGGGGTAAGTCACACCAGCTGCTGCAGAAGTCCACGACCTCCCGAACATGGAGCCTTATCTATAATCAAGAAAAATGGGGGAGGGGAATGGAGGACACAAGTGAAGTCCTTGTAAAAAGGAAGAATCAGATTTGCATATTCTGAAAAGGAGCATGTGTTAAGCAAAAATGAGGAAATTGTGTAACATCATCTGTAATACATGGTGCATTATTTTATTTAACTGTTCGTTGGGATCTTTCCAAACACTCTTCCCCTTCTCCAAAAATCATATACTCTATGACCCTGACCACAAAGGGAAGTATAAACATTTGCATGAAATAGAACAGAAACCAATTAATGTGTCCAATACCATGCCTTATACTACTTTGCAGGTAAATGCATTTCTGATAATCGCTCTTCAACCGAAAAAACAAGTATATTCAGAAGTTTTCATTTTTCCAGTAACCCTGTAAAATAGCCCTCTCTTTAGAATTCTTCACTCATATTTTGGCGATGCACTGCAGAGATATGGTGTTGTACCATAAGCAATGTACTATTGAAGAGTATGAAAGGATTTTACAAATTCAGTAATCCTAGTTTTCCCAGAACTTATGGAAACGTCAGGGTGTTAGCTCTTCAGATAAAGTTGTGTTCTTGATCTTTTGCTCCAGATCTAAAGTTTACACATTTCTCAAATGTATTTGGTACGTTATTAACCAACTAGCTGCATAAAATTTAGAATACGCTGCAAAAGATGCAGGTGAGCGTCACGCATTTAGGACTAAACAGGAATACTGAATTCTTGAGAATTTTATAGCACACTATATGGGGGGAGGGATAGCTCAGTGGTTTGAGCATTGGCCTGCTAAACCCAGGTTTGTGAGCTCAATCCTTGAGGGGGCCATTTAGGGAACTGGGGTAAAAATCTGTCTGGGGATTGGTCCTGCTTTGAGCAGGGGGTTGGACTAGATAACCTCCTGAGGTCCCTTCCAACCCTGATATTCTATGATCTATGACTTATCACAAGTAGAATCAAATACAATCAGCGGTTAGTAGCCACTATGTAAAAGCTTGATGGTTAGAGAGGGAAAGTAATAATTTCAACAGTTAATATTAATTCACAAAAGAATTATTTCCAAGTACTGTTTTGTAAAAAGTTCACAGGATTTCTGTTAAAATGTTATTTTATATACTGGAGGCTTGTAAGAGGACCAGGGCATTTAAATAGTACAGTTACCTTATTACCTTATTCCATTCTTCTGAAATGAGCCAACTTCACATACAAGGATCTATCTAGAGCTCATATGGGCCTGCTTCAGAGGATTAAAAAACCCAAAGCCTTAAATGATGAGCAGCAGTGAAGAGAGAAGCAAAGTGGGGGAATAGGAGAGCTTATGCAATTGATAACTTCTGCACTCCACACTGTCTGAATCTTAGGACAATATCAGCCAAAGTCCAAATGCTTTGTGCGAGTTACTCCAGCTCTAATGCTTGCAGTAACTCTTGGGAGTGGGAAGAGAGGGAGACGAGGACTGTCTATTCCAGGCCCTTAAAAACAAAAGCCCCAAAACAACTTTGTGGTATTTGGGGAGACTGCCGGCCCAAGTTGCCAAAAGCAGTGGAGGGCTTCGTTTCCTCAACCACAACCCTTCTTCACCTCTCCCACTAATATTTAAAAAAAAAAAAGAAAGGATCAGCTGAGTGGGGAGAACCCAAGTCACGAGGACACAGCTGTGTAAAGTTCTACCTTGTCTCACTTTTACTCAGCGAGCTGGGCAATGTGACGACCAGTTGTAGAATGCTGATGTGAAGAAGCGCATGGAGGAGGTTTCAAATTCACTTTCTTCCTAGATATCTTGTGTCAAAGCTTCTTTAATGGCATTATAGATTCAATTAACAATAACCAAAAAAGCAAACATTTTGCAGAACAAACAAGACATTGAAGAAATAGACTATGTTGCCAGCTTCTATCCCCCAATGCTACTGACCAAACTAGGTTACAATTATAATCTTAAAAAACCTGCTACTCTGCCATTGCCAATTAAAATTAAACATGGTGTTGGGATACTTTGATTTCCAAGTTAGAGAAATTCAAGATTCAAGATTTCAGCACTTTGAATAGTGGCCTATTAATTTACACACACACACACACACACACACATTCATACACTTGTATGATTATGTCTTTCGCACATATTCAAAGCAAAATAAATGTTATAACCTTTTATGCAAAAATTGGTCTAAGCATGAAATGGTAGTTTGCTACACATATTTCAAACAATACTTATTACATATTTAATCTTATGAATATGAGGTACACATGTATGGAGAAAAATGCTTACATTGATGTTTTCTAATTGTAGTAGGTGTACTGTATAATAGGATTTTACGTCCTCTGATACTAGCCTCACACAAAATCCCGTTTCCTTGAACCTCATGACTTCCTCTTCTTCTGTTGGCCAGTACTGGGCACATTTTACCTAAATTTAAAAAAGTAAGTAAATATTTGCCCACTGAGACAAGTGACAAAAGTAAAATATGCGGGATCACAGATTCTACATGGGGTGGGAGATATGGATGCATTATGACAGCTTTTCTCTTCATCCTGAATAAAGGAGATAAATGGTAACTGTCATTAAGCTAAAATATGTTAACTAAAACAGTCTTTTCAAGGATATACAGCATCCATTAGTCACATGTATAGTTGAATTTAACAGTGTTTACGTAACTTTCACAAATAATATACATTAAAAAAAAGTATTAATGCTAACTTGTGGACATGTTTCCAAAGAGTTGAAGCACTATTAAATTAGAGTATTTAGGGCTCAATTCTCCACTACTGAGCACTTCCCACAGTGATTTACATCAGTGCAAACAGAATATAAATGTATATTTAATAGCATTTTACACTCACTTTGTACAGATGTAAATGACTACACCAAGTTCCCAAGTTCATAGGCTTTGCTATTTTAGGGCAAGTTGCTGGTCTACCTATTTCAGTATGCTACTCAATAGGCACTACTACTTAATTCCTCAAAGGCAAAGAGAGAGAGCCACAATTGGACAACATTTTGCATGGGGGAGAGGGATAGAGCAGATTCCTCTCTGACCCCTATCATGAGTATATGCTCTGAAGGATGAGAACTGTTCACTCATGAATAATGCTTAGACTATGCAGGCTGAGATAAAGTTATCCACTCCTTTTAAAAGATAAACAAAAAAAAAAGCCATCCACAGTATTGTCTTGATCCCTGGTAGTAGTGAATTCCACAGGATTACTATACACTACATAAAATAGTGTTTTTCTTTATAAATTGTAGCTGTATTGTCAGTTTGGGATTCTTTGTAAAATTTGGGGGCTTGCATATCTGGTTCTAAGTATATATTACACACACATTTATGTGCTTATAACTATGTCCTCCATAATTATGGAATCTCAGTTAGGTCCTGTTAAAATCCTAGTTTTTACATTCTCATCACTTGCAAGTAGTGTTAAACGCTCTAGCCATATTCACTACCCTTCTCTTGCCCTTTCCCCAATTCTGATACATCTTGATGTGCACCCAAACACCATACTTGCTTTAAATATTTCTACAATCGACAGACACCTTTACTGAGCTCTTCCAGTGACACTTTTCACCCTTCAGAGCATTCTGCAAGTTCAGTGCCCACCAAGCACATAAAAGTAGTTTATTATTTTTGACAATATGCATTACTTGACATGTAACCTCTATAAATGTAATTTCCCATTGTGCAGCATCATCCCCAAGGTTTTTAAATTAATGCACCATTTATCAGAATCCTTTAGCGCTTACTCACCTATCTGACTGAGTTTCCGCTTAGAAGTGAATGGGACATTTGCATTTCTTTTGCTTGCATAATTGGATCCCAAAGCTCCAGGCCTAGTACATTAGGCCATCAAACTTTTCTAGCCAAGAATTTTTGAATGACCAGAACTTTATTGCATTTATAGCTAAGAACTACGGCTAATATCTAGATATTTAAAAGAGTCACACATGCTGGCAACAAAAAAAAAGTGCTCTCTCAAGTGATTCATATACTCTAAATTCTCACTGACTTGTAAGGAAGTGAAAACAGACTAGTTTTATTTCTGCTGGTAGCACGAAGTCAGGCTTTCATTATCAATAGCAGTCTATTAACGAAACATTGCTACTGTTAGAACACTTTGAAAAATAGAAAAAAAAAATCTCAATGGAGTTAAACTTAAGCTAAGTTTCCTACCTTCTACATCTCATCTTGGAACCCACCTAAGCCCTAACTCCTACTCCCATCTTAGTTCTTCCGCTTTTACATCCCCCTGCCTCAGGAATTTTATTTCATCTTTCTAGACCTGTACTTACTGAAATGAATTTCACCTCTTAGCTCCACTATCTCATTTAATAAAGGTATCTTAGCTCTGTACAATTGGAAGAGAGTTGGTAAATACTCTCACTTATCCCCTCAAACTACTTAAAGTTATTTCTAGTCCTGCTTGTAGAATTAGTACAGTATCTCAGTTGTCACAAAAATCAAATGTGATAAAGCAGCCAGCAAGATTAGTGTTCCCATATTGTTATTTAAGCCTCCAGCAACAACAAAAAAGAATGCATCATCTCTTCACAAAAGGACATTCCTAACAATTAAGAAACAACTTTAATATCCCAATTAAGTGTGGTTTGATAGCATTAAAAGTATGTTGTTGATGTATAAGTTGCATTAAATAGCCATTACTTACTGACTCTTTTTCAACAATTCTGTTTAGCATGACAACTGCTCTGGTCTTTTGTTGCCATACCATTAGCCAAAAATGACAACAAGTATTAGGAAGTGGACCCTGTGCGAGTAGGGAAAGAAAGAGGGAAAACATTCACATAGTGCTCAAAACAAGAATCATAATTCAATTATATCTGAAAAATTGTCTTCAAAGAGAACAGTGTAAGACAGGAAACATAAGTCAATTACACAGCTTATACACAAATGCAGAATATAAACATTTATTGAGTTTTTTGGAATGCAACAGTGAGGCATTCCCATTAGCTAGCCTACCACAAAATATTCTGACAGATTCATAATTAAAATGATCAATTTATGAACAGCTTCAGAAAGAAAGTTAATTTACATAAATAGAGCTACACTATATTCCTCATCAATGACAGCCGTTAAAAGAACACTTTATGGATAGGATGTCAGTATCAGAGAGAATTATGCTTTCAGGCATTATTAGTGCAGAATCTGATGGATCCCAACAGTTCTTTTGATAGCTTTTTAAATGGTGAAGACCTGTCTTTCAAATGTAATACTTTTATTGCAGCATTCCATCACCTTACATAATCAGGAACATGATTACTTAAACAGCTGTGAACATCCAAGTATTTCAACATCATTAAGTTTTATAACTAGCACAGCGGTTCTCAACCTGTGGGTCAGGACCCCAAAGTGGGTCTTGGCCACATTTTAATGGGGTCGCCAAGGCGGTCGTTAAACTTGTTGGGGCCCGGGGGCTGAAGCCAAAGTCCAAGCCCCACCATTCAGGGCTTAAGTCCTCAAGCTTCAGCACTCCCCAAGGTGAGGGGGCTCAGGCTTCGGTCTCTCTTCCTGGGGTCGTGTAGTAATTTTTGTTGTCAGAAGGGGGTCATGGTGCAATGAAGTTTGAGAAACCCTGAACTAGCAAATTCGAGACAGTGTAAATGGCGAAGTATTGAATTCTACAAGTAAATTTAGTCAAGTTCAAGCACAGAATGAATATGCATTGAAGTCTATTCTTCCGCATGCATACAGCACTGTCAGATAAGGTAATTTTTTGTATTAAAGATTTTTTTTTGCAGACATTTTCCTGTTTAAAAAGTATTATATAAGATCACAGTTTGGGGGCATTTTCACCATTTCCCTGTCTTCCTCTGTGAAACAGTGATTTTTCACAGGGCCCTATTTATAACTATCCTGGATTTTGTATATAAAGTATGCTTTTTTCCCCCATTATATGCACATTGTGTGAATGACATCTCTCTATGTATGGATCCATTAGACCAGTAGTTTAAAAGCCCACTTCATATACAAAATCCAGGATTCCATATATAGCAAAATACCATCCAAAATGTTGGCTGGATGCTAGTAAAAAAAAATATATAACAAAAAAGTATTTTAAAGCCAGTCTTACTTAAAAGGAGAAGCTGTTTTCAGGCTTATTATTTACATATTAAGCAAATAAAAGTGGTTCAAATTATAAGGCCTTGAAAAATCCACTCAACAATCATGACTAGAAAGCTTCCCCCCCCCAATTCAATCATCCATTTAGAAAAAGATGAAGTTTCTAGACATTTTTTATTGTTGCAAGAAGCCTTCCCAATGTGAACTGAATATACACTGATGCTCCGTTGTTTACCTGAGTCTGCCACAAGAGGTCCAAAAGCTCTAATATTGCTACTGTTGTTTGGCAACACCATGGGCAAGAAATTTACAAGACTTAGGTCAGTTTCATAGCTACTGTTCAGAAACCTGTTGTACCCTGAAATTGTCAAGTATTCCACAGATTTTCCATCAGTTTCATAATGGTCTTGCTTAGAAAAACTGAGAAGTAGCAGAAACAGATTCTGAAATTGTACACGGATGAGGACCTCAAAAATGGAGGATGGAAGGGAATGTAAAGCAGTGGAGACTTCCCACAGCCAGGCTACTATGGAAGGGTGAGGGAAAATAAAAATTCTCCCTTCCCTCAGTAAGGAATTATAGCTTCAAACTGATCTATGGCTATTAGCCAGAACCTGACATGAAAAAGGAAACTCTCCAACCACTAAAATCCAGTACCCTCCCCCAGATTTCTTACCAAGACATTTCTTCTGGACCTCCCTGGTTAGACTTCCCTATATGTCCTGTTTAACAGGTTTAGTCTTCCAGCTACTATCAGAGCTACTATCAAACTATATAAGTTATAATGAATTTCTTGATGGAATTATATTTATAAAGGATACAAGGCAAATGTGTGAGTATGTTAAATTGGAGGAAAATTGTATATTATTTGGGAACTAATAGTAAATCTCAAGCTTTCCTCCGCTACTACTCGAGTAGACGTGAGTTTGCTCATTAATTCAAGGACACTGCTGCATCTATACATTTAAGTTATACAATATTTTACCTCATGTGGAAATATGGAAAGTCTGCCTTAGGAAAGTGTAAGTTAACACTTACTACGAAGCTGTACATGACCTGCTTAAAGACAACTATAGCACACGGAGGATTAAAATAATAAAGGAAAAGAGATTAACGAAGAAACCAAAAACTCTCCTCTGGATTTTTTGGTCAATTCTTACAAATTTGTATGTTGGTACCATTCATGCATGTGTTTTTGTTTAAAAGGAGAGGGAGAAGAGAGTACAACAGATCAAGTAACCATTTGGATATTTTCATAATTGTTGAAAAGAAAAGAAAAATCTGTTTTAGAAATGTTTGAAAACTTTAATATATAGATTGCTATGAAATAATGCCTACCCTGCAAATACCTTATAAAAATTAGAACATCCTTGTAATCAGATCAGACATACTGGCTATTTGTTTCATTTACTGACTGAGGAGAGCAGCAAAGATGGCTTCATTCCCATCCCCATAATGTCCATGTTCTCTATCCCCCATAACAATTTATTATCTAGTTATTACTTACCTGTGTTAAAATATAGTTTCTTTGGGCTTCTTCTATGACTACTAAACTGGCATTGATATAGTCATTCTCTGTGTTCTGCAGTTTTACACGACTATGATCATCTAACAATAGAAACAAAGTTAAAATTAAGACATATGACAAACATATATGGAAGTGAAATTCCTGTGATAATTTCACATATTTCCAGAATTTATCATGTCATGGTGTGATAACAAGGCATAACTGGCACTCATTTGGTCTAAACGCAAAATTCACTCCTACCTTAGTTATGAATGACTAACATCGCCATTCTTAACTATTGCAAATAAAAATGTTAGATATAAAATATATTGTATACACATTAAAAAATCCCATTATCCAAATCTCTTTGGAAACATCCATATTCTCTGTATAATCAGAATTTTGGGTAATCATTCAGAAGTTCTGATAGAAACAGAAGGAAACAGAAGCCAAAGGTGATTTTTGGATAATCTGGGTTTAGATGTATGTATATTTAGAATGGAACTCCCACTTTAAGCCCCAACTCTGCAGCCAGAGCTGCAGCCCCTATGCCCATGCATAGTTCTGCTCACTTCAAATGAACGGAGGCTCACAGAATTTTAATTAGCATTTTCTGACTCCTAACAGATTATCATAAATGGAACGCAAATATGACTGTAGCACATTAACAGATGAGGAAACTGAAACAGAGATCAAGTGACTTGACCAAGGTCACCCAGCAGGCCAGTGACAGAGGTGGGAATTTACTATTTATGGGCCCAATCCTCTCAGTATCCACTCAAAACTCCAGGTTTACTTTAGTGATAATTTTGAATCTTGTCAGGATCAGGATCAGGCCCTATATAAATAGGGATCGTGAAACAAAGGAAATGCAACTGAGGAGGTTAAAATTAGAACCTGGAGCATATATTCTTAACATTGCATTAATCGATTTTTTACACTTAATTGTTTGATAACCTAGTGGCAGATGACATCCTCGTGCTAATTTGCTCCCTAAGGCTTCAGCAAGTAAGTGAGCAATTCAGCAGAAAATCACTAGCCTACAGCCATATTGTCACACACAGTTCTCACATTATCAATATTCAATATATCTTCTTGAAAACAATTTAAAATAGGAAATAAAAAAAGGGGGGTTGTCAATGCAGTAACAAGACTGAAATTTTAATCAAGGATCAGGAGATTCACAGTCAAGGTTCCCATAACAATCTTAACTCTCCTCTCTTGCATACTGTAATTATCGCAAACCCAAGCACTTAAAAGGAAATGAACAGGTAAATTTTATATTGTCCACCTCTTTAGAAGATATTTTTTTGTTTTTTTAAGTATACTGAAATGCATCTCTCACCACAACACAACTATCTTAACTCTGATCCATGGATTGTTGAGAATTTTATTTATTTCGCATTATATTTGTTAACTTGATTTCATGATTCACAAATGTAAATGACTAAACTAGGTGCAAAGCACTGAAGAATTAAACCCCTAACATCCAACTGGGCTACCCACCCAATAGAAAAAAAATCCCATTCAAACCAATGAGGGAAAGATTGAGTCCAAAACCACGTACAACAAATCCTTAATAATTTGCCTAAGTATAATCTATTTCTCCAAGACAGCTAGTGCACAAGTTTTCAAAGAGATTTAACCACTCAGAAAATGAGTTAGAGGTAAGCAAAGAATAAAACTCAAGTAAAATATTTCAAACCACAGTGATCTAACAAGAACAATTTGATTTTTCCCCAAAATTTTAGAAACATCCTCCTTTGTCTTCAGAGTTAATGTGGCAAATTTCAAGCCAAAGTATAAGGCTGTACAAGAAAGCAGATTGAAATCATAACTCTGGAAAGACTACTGCCTTTCCAAAAATAACGAGAGTCAAGATTGATGCAGAAACCTAATTTTGTAACTGATGTCCTCCAGGTGGATTACTTTTTAATGAGAAAAAGAGGGAAATGACCCAATGGTACACATTTTATGAAGGACCCCCAAGCATTGGGCTTCTCTCCCTTCTTCCTCTATGCAATAGCCTACATCCATTGACCCTTGAGAGCACAATTGCAAACTCTTAGGGAAGAGAGATGCACTGACGGTTGGGACAATTTTGGTTAGTTTTCTTTCTTGGCTTTGGCAAAAAGTTACTGGTTTAACTATGTTTGCATTAGTATTTCTAGTATGTGGCAAAAGGAGCTGGAGCTATAGGTAGGCTTTTTTTTTTTTTTTTTAAGTTGTATAGCCTCCATATAGAGGTAATACACATGTAAATTACAGATTTAGAGATACTATGTATGTTTTAAGCAAAATATATCTCCTTACATTATATTGCCTGGAAATGAAAATGTTAATAAGTTTATTTTATCTGAAATATTCTACTGGACAGAAACCAAGATCTTTGTAAATATTACATGTCATTTGCCAACAGGAAAAACTTAAGATCTTGTTATAGTAAATCACTCATACAGATGCTAGTGTTCTCGGAAAGATGATGTCAGTAAGCACTGTTAACAGTTTAATCACTCTGCAACTGCTGTATCATTTCCAAATAAGAGATAAAAGACCCCAAAGAGGTTTCACACAGTAACGTGCACTCACAAGGTATTCAGCCTTACTTTTTAAAAACACTACAAGAGACAATGAGTATATTTAAAATTCCACTCTGTAGAACATGGTGAAGAGAATCTTGGGGTCAGGGTAGTGGGAAACGATACCAAAATTTAAGTGCTATCCTATGAATACCAGCCTGTAATCCATCAGACAGAAATACATGCAGTACAAGGATGCATTGATCCTCTCCTTTCCACCAAAAAGAAGGTTCCTGGAAGACACTAGGATCTAGAAAACTCATGTGTGTCCTGGCTTGCTCTACTGAAATCAAACAAGCCAATTTTTGAGTGTTAATGTTTCCAGTCTGTAAATAGTTTCCAGTTATTATTCATTCAATAATTGAACTGATTATATAAATAACAGAACTTCTTCAGATGAAATTTAGTTTAAGGAACACCACTTACCTAAAAATTTATTGTTAGCCATACCAACAGAAACAGCTATGATGTAGGATTTCTAAAATTTCTAATTCAAATTTTCCACTTCAACAGAACGTGCCATTGGCACAAGAAGTGGAAATCTTGAAAAATGCTTCTTATGCTGGTTCCCCTATTAAGAAGGCTTCTATACCCAGAAAAACAACATCTGAAATTAGCAACCTCTTCAGTTACTCTCTTTAGTTGTAGACTTCAGTATGCCAGGATTTCACCCAAACACCATTGTTTTTGATGGGGTCAGAATTTCACGTTTCACCTCTTTGTCCGCTCTCATATACATACAATTGTTTACATATATTAAACAGCCCAGTGGAGAACTTTTGGTACCTCGCCTGCTGCTGTTCTTTCTTCTCCCATTAATTGGTTGTGAGATTTATTTGAAAGTAAGTTCTGTTTCCAGAAATGAAAGCACAATGAGACTTTTAAATGACCTTTGATAAAGTTTAGCAAGCATGATTCCTGTTTCCTAAACATGGCATTATTAATTGCCAGGAGGGTGAAATACTATTTACTGGATTTAAAAAAAAAAGTTAAAAGAAAACGTGGGTGAAAAAGCCCTGAACCATCCCAATGGCCCAGTGTCAGGCACCCTTGCAGACAGCAAACCCTCCTCCCTCACACAGCGAAATCTAAATCTGATTATTCCTAGCTAAGCCATCCAACTCCAATATATTGTAAAATACAGTGCTGACAAACAAGATTCAGAGACTGCATAAAATAAAGGGAAGGCCAAGAGGTTTTCCTCCTTTGCACCATACTACCACTTGCTGTAACAATTAGTGCGGACATGTTGCGTAAATCAAGGCCTAGTCCGTAACTTCAGTATAACCACTGCACAGAGTTCTGATTATATCATACTATGCTTTTACAGCATGATTTTCCAAATATTCCAAGCATCTGCAGTTCCTCCAATTGATTTCATTGTAATTTGTGCGTGTCATTTCTGAAAAATCAGGCCACTAATTTTGAATCAGAATTTGTATCAGCTGTTACATGTTTTGTTTTAGTTACTTTCTGGTGCATCTTTTAGTTTATTCCTAAAGTGCTTATAATGGTAAACTATAAATATCAAAATTTGTATATATTGTTAAAATCTACATCCACAGGATCCATTTCTAGTCAGGGTGGATTTGATTTAAATCAATCAATTTGATTTAAATCGTGATTTAAATCACTAGTCAGGAAGACTCGATTTAATCATGGTTTTCTACATAAAAACACATTCTTATTTGTTGTTATAACCTTAATACATATTCTTCACAACTCAGAGATAAATGTAGGTTTAATTTTTAGAAGTTACACACTATACATTTTTAAATAATGATTTATTTTGAAAACTTTTCCGATTAGTTTTACAGCTATATCAGAAAATGAAGGATTGTTTGGTTATTTCATTTACCAAAAATAACTGAAGCAGATATTTATGAAGTCATAGGGAGGTGAACTATCATTAATATTTGGAGGATTTTCTTGCCATGCTGTATTAGGAGGCGACCACCACCAAACAGACATTTAAATTGTTTTATTTAACTAAAACAACGTTAAGTATTTTGGATGTTTTTCTTCAATAGCAAACATAATATTTTAACAAAACAAACATATGTCTCTCGCTTCTTACACTTATCTCCAGACTTCTTCTCCTTGTCCAGATCTATTCCGCTCCCAACAATCTTCTATTCATTGAACTTTTTGAAACTGCACTTTTAGAGAGAGGTAAGGGATTGACTCTGTGTACACAAATTTGCAGAGGGACAACAGAGTTGAGGTCTGTTATTTCTCACCTCTCTATATTATTTATTTATTTTAAAACATTTTTGCTGTTAACAAGCATGTTACCTCTGGAGACACAAATCCACAGTTTGAGAACAGCAAAAGTAAGCATCTTCGAGGGTATCTTCTAAACCAGGGGTAGGCAACCTATGGCACGCATGCCAAAAGTGGCACACGAGCTGATTTTCAGTGGCACTAACACTACCCGGGTCCTGGCCACCAGTCCGGGGCACTCTGCATTTTAATTTAAATTTTAAATGAAGCTTCTTAAATATTTTAAAAAGCTTATTTAC